GGTCTGTAGGTCTCTACAGACAGACAGGAATTGACAGAGCTGTATAGGAAGAGGAAGTGATGTAGCTGAATGTAGAGAGCAAATCAGATGGCAGAACAGCAAGGCATATTAGACGTGGGTATACAGGAAGCTTTCACCCCTATATTTGGCTCCATGTTTTTTAATTTAATAAGACCATTTAGAAATTCATCTACAAGTTATCCCATCTACCTTTTATCTTTGGGCTTTTATCTTTCTCTATTCTACATACATTTCTTTCTTTTTTCTTTTTTTTCAGAGCTGAGGACCGAACCCAGGGCCTTGTGCTTGCTAGGCAAGCGCTCTACCACTGAGCTAAATCGCCAACCCCTACATACATGGCCCCTGGTGTCCTCCTCTCCTCCTTTTCTCACTCTTCAAACTTCTCTTCCCAGATTTCTCCTCCTATTTATTCTCTTTGCCTGGCAGCCCCACCTATCCCTTCTCCTGCCTCGCTATTGACCATTCAGTTCTTTATTAGAACATCAGGTGTTTTAGACAGGCACAGTAACACAGCTTCCCAGAGTTAAACAAATGTAACATAAAAGAACGCAACACATCTTTGCATCATTAAACAAATATTCCACAGCATAAAATAATGTAACACATCTTTAACTAATATTCTACAATAGACCCCCAGCAGGACTCTTGAAGACTGTTAATTTGGCTAAGACGACAGCCCTACATCTGGACAGTGTGTGTATGATGGTGTATGTGTGGGATGCCCACTGGCTTCAAGTGACAGGGAAAAGCCTCATGATAGAAGACTTCTAAATCAAATCCCCAAAGGGGAGTATGAAGCAGGATGAGGAGAGCAAGGAGGCAGGCTGGCAAGGCCAGATCCTTTTGTAGAATGTGATTAGGAGGAAAGGTTGACTCAGAGGCAAAGACCTAACTCTACCAATGCTTCTCTGGTCACCAACTCTCTCAATACTGCTTCATTTTCCCCATAAATTTCAGCTTTCTCATGATGCCTACTCCTGACACTTCCCCACATGGATTTCATTGGTTTGGGTGCTAAATTTGGGAAAAATGGACCTATAGTATCGCTCCATGGCTTCTCACTGTTTGGCAGACTCAATGTGCTGCTTTTCTACTTGGATTCACAGTGTCTTGGTCACTGCTCTATTACTGTGAAGAGACACCATGACCAAGGCAATGCTTATAAAAGAAAGCATTTAACTGGGGGCCTTGCTTACAGTTTCAGAGGGTTAGTCCATGACTGTCACGGTGCGGAGAATGGTGGCATGCAGGCAGGCACAGTGCTGGAGCAGGAGCTGAAAGCTATATCCTGATCCACAGGCAGCAGGCAGAGGGAGCTGCACAGGGCCTGGCCTGGGCTCTTCAAACCTTAAAGCCACCCCCAGTGCCATACCTTACCCCACAAAGACACGCCCACTCCAAAACGGCCACGCCTCCTAATTCTTCAAAACAGTTCATCAACTGATAACCAACCATTCAAATATACGAGCCTACGGGGGCTATTCTTATTCAAAGCAACACACACACACACACACACACACACACACACACAGAATTTTTGTCGCTATTTATCTTGTTTATGGTGCTGAGGATCACACTCAGGGCCTCAGACTTGGCACACAAGTGCTCTACCACGGAACTTCACCCCTCTCCCTTCGCATAAAGAATTTTGATTAGCTCAGTACAGATTTTGGATTGATTTTTAGGTGTGCCAGCTTCTCCACCCTCTGCCAGACAATGTCAGGGAACAGGTAAACCCAGCATTTAAGATCCACTCCTTTCAACACAACGGCAGCAGAGTGTTTGAAAGAGAGAAAGCACGTGAATGTTAATAACAGGGTAAGCAGTGCTCTGGCACTCAATGTGAGGTCTCCAGATGAGCAAGTGTAGTGTGATAGCTTGTGAGAAATACAGGATTTTTTTTTTTACTTTCTTTTTATATATTCTTTGTGTTTTTCACATCATGCATCTGGATCCCATTCATTTCCCCATCCCTTCATATCTGCCCTCTGGCATTGCAACCTCCCACAAAGATAGAAAAAAATTTAAGAGAAAAAAAACGGAAAAAGGAAAATCTCATTATGGAAGTTGTAGTGTGTCACAGTGAGTCACACATTAAACCCTTTTGTCTAGATATCTTTAATTGCAAAGTGTTCATTGCAGAGAGTCATTGGTCTGGTTTGAAGCCTCTGATTCTGCTACACTATCGATGCTGGATCCTCACTGGGACTCCTCTTGTATATCCTGTGGTTGCCCTGTATTGTGGAGATCCTGCAGCTTTGGATCTGCAGGACCAGCCCCTTCACGTGCTTCCACAGATCACAGATGGTGTGGATGTTGGGATGGGCCAACACATAACCCTGGTTCTGGGCCTGGGTAATTGCAGGATTGGTCAGTCCACATCTCTCCCCTGCCCTCACCACCAGGGTGAGCTCTCCAGCGTTGCCCCAGCTAGTTCACTCCTTGCAGAAATGAGCAAGGGGCAGGGCCAGTTATCTTTCTTTCATGCCCTCAGGGTTGGCTCTCCCACACATGAATCATCAGGGCTGGCTCACCCATACTCCTATCTTCAGGATCAACTCTACTGTGCTGCCCAGGTGAGGTACAGGGCTTGTTCTCCCAAGTGCTGCAGCTGGTGAGGGGTTGGGTCAGCTCCCCCACCTGCAGCAGGTGCGAGAGGGAAGGGGGGAGGGCATCTTTCCCTCATCCATGCCACCACATGGCAGACTAGAGGGATGTGACCAGCTCTCCCATTCTCATGCCATCAGGGCCAGCTCACCCATGCCCCCCAAAACACTGTCAGCTCTATTGTGCTGCCCAGGTGAGGTGTAGGACCTTTTCTCCTGAGTGCTTCAGCCAGAGGGACAAAACCAGTTCTCCTTAGTGTTGTAGCCAGTGAGGGGCAGGGCCAATCTGTACAGCCCTATCCTCTCGGCCTTTGGTAGTATCAGGAGCCTTGGGCATCAACACAGAAATGAGGCTGTATCAGGACCATGAACCCAGACATGGGCCCTGACAGCAACCCAGGAGCAGACATCATGATGCCCTGGGTGGCAATGAAGCCACCCACCTCAGCCCGCTCCTCATGGCTTTCACCTCTTCAGATATGCCTCTATCATCCACTGTAATTGGAAGTTTTCCTGTGCCTGCCCGGCTCCCATGGCCTCGCGGTCCCACAGCCGCTCAAACCCAAATGATCACCCAGAATCTTATATTAATTGTAATTACATGGCCATTAGCTCAGGCCCACCCCTGACTAGCCCTTACATTTAAACTCAGCCCGTTTCTGTTCATCTCTATGTCACCACATGTTCTGAGGCTTTACCTGTGTGCCATTACATGCTGCTCCCTGGATGGTGGGATGGCGTCTCCTTGTCTCCCCTATACTTCCTGCCTGGCTACAGGCCAATCAGCATTTTATTTATCAACCAATCAGAGCAACACATATTCACATATACAAAACATCCCACAGCAGTCTACAGGACACGAACCTTTCTGTCTCTCTCTCTCTTCCATCTCAGACCATACATTTGCTCATCATGATACTGCCCAACTGCCCCGTGCCCGGGCAGGCTCCTGATTGGTGCAGAGGTGTTGCTGGAGTCCTCCAGTGGGTCAAGGCTAGAGAGCCCAGGCTGCATTTCCAGAATCTTCTTACGCATCAGTGTTTACTGCATCACTACTCACAGAGCTGTTGTGGAGCCAAGAGAATGGTCCATCAACAGGGAACAGATAAAGAAAACGTAGCATATACACAAAGACTTGTCTTCATCCATAATGAAGAATGAAGTTTGCTATTTCAAGGCAATGACTGCAACTGAAGGCAATGAAATTAACTAAGCCAGCTTCAGGAAGTACGGCATGCTTCCTCTCCATTGTTGGCCCTAGATTTTATACAGACACACAAAATCATGTATGTACAGACGACATAAAAGTAGAACTGAAATTATCTAGGGGAGTAAGGGGACTGAGAGGAGAAAGGGGGAAAAGAAAGAAACAGAGTGGGGAATGGGATTATGCTCTAAGTATATTGCATAAAACTAGGCTTTTATAACTCCATTTAACACAAAAAATATTTAGAATTGCAAATCTCATCTTAGAGCTAATGAATTACATTTGCCTTTTTACTAATTCTTTTGAGGATTCCGATATACAACAAAGCTTGAAAATCATTTATTTCATCAATACAAAACTGGTTAAGGCCACATAATCAACCCCACCCACTCAGAAACACACACACACACACACACACACACACACACACACACACACACACACGCTTCTCAATTCCTGATCTTCATTCTGTCTCAGCTGTATATTTTGCACATTTTGAACTTGGTCCACGCCCAGAGTTGCAGTGCGCCTGCGTAAGTCAAAGCGGACTACTGGTAAGCCTCACCAGCTCTCCACCTCACATCAGCCTATCTCTGACCCGTTTGGTCTCTGCCGATTTCCTGATGGGGCGGCAAGCACTGTTTCCATCTTCTGGCTGAGGTTCCATGTTCTGTCACTGTACTTTCTCTTCTTACATATCTTCAGTTCCCTTTTCTAGTTCCTTTGCTACACATGTGCAAAAAGTCCCCTGAGACATTAACGTCTCCTCAGTGCTTGTGGCCAGACAGTTAATGAAGATGGAGAGTATAGGACTTCCTGACTGAACAGACAGCTTCAACTGTGTGCTTAAAGAGACATGGAAACCCTCTGTTACCTAGGCAACTTTCTTACATTTATCACAATGGAAAAAAACATAACCCTCGGGCTGGAGTGATGGCTCAGTGGATAAGAGCACTGGCTGCTCTTCCAGAGGACCTGGGTTCAATTCCCAGCACTCGAATGGCAGCTCACAACTGTCTGTAACTCTAGTTCCAGGGGGTCTGACAATCTCACACCAGTGCACATAAAATAAAGTTAAATAAAATTTTAAAAAAAAAAACACAACCCTCACCTCAAAGAGGTTAAGATATAGTTTATTCTAGAGACGAAGTTGAGTGACTACAACCTGGGTTACCCCCAAATTCCATGTTCCAATGTAGAAGCAGTTTCAGGAAGTTTTATAGTTTTACAGAACAAAGAAAACCATAAGTCAAGGTAAGTTTAAAACACATAGGTGGTTACATCAGAGAGGCAGGGACAGAAATATGGGGAAATCTCTCCTATAGGCTTGAGATGGCATCTCATGGTGTTCTTAGTTTCTGGGTTGGTAGAGCTAATGGTCTGCTAAGTTAATAGATTCTAAAAGGGTTTTGTCTATTCCTTACCAGATGTTAGTTCTGACACACAGCTGGACAAGGAATGGCTATTCAGAGGGCTATAGCCCGCGGCAGGGTAATTGTCTGCCACAGCATCCCCAACTATTCACATCACTGCAGTTCTAGTCAGCCAACCAGCCTCTGCACAGGAAGCTTCTTTCCAGGAATCTCCTTGACACATCATCTACACAGGTTCTTCACAGCCTCTGGGCCCTTTCCACTCAGCAGATGACTCAGCCACTTTATGACCAAAACAAGAGAGAAGCCAGCACATGGGAATTTCCTCACTCCCTAGCAACCTCTTCCATCTCTCCATCTATCTATTCAGAATTTAAGACATGCCTACCCATGTCATATTTTTAGACTCCATGGCATCTCCCTATCATCAAAGTCTCACCCTGTAAATAGTTTCTAAGAAAACACATTTAAAAGTGTTGTTCCAAGCACGAAGAAACAAACAAGAACCTTGCAATGAGACCATGTTCCCTGTAGCTGCCATGTGCTCTCAGCACCCTCTGTGGAACTCTCGATTATCTACGCATTCATCTGTCCCTTCCCTACTTCCTTGAAAACAGAATCTACCCAGTACAAGAGAAATAATTAGACTGCAACTTTTCCTTGAAGCTCTGGGAGGAGCTGAGTGTCTGTATAATACCCTTAGGGGGTGGATTAGGTTCACAGTTAGCTTCAGCTGTCAAATTGACAACATCCTTGGGCCACTCTAGGGAAGAGGGAACCTCAGCTGAAGAACTGTCCAGATTAGACTGGCCTTTGGCCAAGTCAGTGAGGCACTTTCTTAACTGCTAGTTGATGTAGGGGAGTCTAACACACTGGATGAGATGCCTAGGCAGGCACCTCATTCATCCCTGGGCAGGTAGGTCCAAGCTATGTAAAAAAAGAAAACTAAAAAAGTAGCTGACAAAAAAAAAAGTCACCAACCGGTCTTCCTCCGTGCTCTCTGTTTCAGTTCCTGCTTCCAAGTTTCTGTTTGAGTTCCTGCCCTGACTTCCCTCTGTGATGAACGTGGAAGTACAAGCCAAACAAATCTCTTCCTTGCCCAAGCTGCTGTTGGTCAGAATGTCTTATCACAGCCGAAGAGAAGCAAACTAGAGCAATCAGGAAATAAGTGATGAAATAAAAAGACTATCTGAGGAGAATTGGCCCAGACGCTTTCACGTGAGGAAACCATGTCTGGACATGATTTCAAAATCTTAAGACAAGAGAGCATCAAGAGTATCCCAGGGAAGTCAAACAGTCTAAAACTGTGACCTGCATTCCTCTGGCTTCTAGTTTTGTGGTGTGTGTGTGTGTGTGTGTGTGTGTGTGTGTGTGTGTGTGTGTGTGTGCTTGTGTGTTGGGGTGGGGGAAGTGTTGTGTAGAAGGGTCTCTATTAGGTAAGTCATCTTTATTTCAATATTCCTACGAATACAGCTACAAACATCGATACTAATTTTAAAGTCAAAATTTCTGTAAAAAGGTCTGTACAGTAATACAGACTACATCTACTTCCTTATCTTCTGTAAAAAGATCTGTACAGTAAGACAGACTACATCCACTTCCTTATCTTCCACACTTGCCTCAGTTCACCAGAATCAGGTGTGTGTGAATGGTGCGTGGTCCCATAAGTATTGTCCCATGGGGACTGCAGTGAAAATGCCAACCACAGGGACTCCTGGCAGCAGTTTGCATTAACTTTTATTGGGGATCCTTCACTCTTCTCTGTACATCTCTTTAATGCCATCCCTCAGGGCTCCAGTCTGTGCCTTTTTACTCTTTTTACTACATACTTGGCAAGGTTAGCCATACAGACTCCAAGCACTCATGCCTGGACCCAAAGAGCTTGGCAGGAGACATGCAATTTGTAACATTTTTAGAAATTAGTATAAATAACTACTCATTTCAGGTGAGACTTAACTGTGTTTCTGTTCTCATTGTACAGTAGAGCTAGCTATCTTGGTAGAGAGCAATGGCTCTTGATTCTGAACATGAAAATATGTGGTAAGCTATTTAATAGCCTAAGGCCACACATCTGAGTTATGAATTCAGAATTGCTGGAGATAACACTCAAACATCAGTATTTTTAAAAGCTCCTTAAACACTTCTGATTTGTGGCCAAAATAGAGACCTAGTGGCTAAAGCTGGACTTCTACTGTGCATCCCAGTTCATCCTCTGGCAAGGGAGCATAGACTTAGTTAATAGACCAAATCATTGTGAACCCTCCTTGTCCTAGGTCATTTCTAAGTCTACTTGACAGATACTGGAGTCTTCTAAGAGGATCCTCAGTTGAAAACCTTGCCTCCTGTTGGAGAGGACGTGGAGCAAGGGGAACAGTCCTACACTGTTGGTGGGAATGCAAACTTGTACAACCACTTTGGAAATCAGTATGGCAGTTTCTCAGAAAAATTGGTAATCTACCTCAAAACCCAACGTAGACAAAACTCTAAACCAAGCTAGTGGGAATTCATGAACTTTACATGAACAGCTGTGGAGCCTCCATGGGACTGGACTAGGCCCTCTGCATAAGCAAAAATAATTGTGTAGCTTGATCTGTGTAAGGAGCCCCCTGGCAATACGATGAGGATCCATCCCTGGTGCATGAACTGGCTTTTTGGAGCCCATTACCTATGGTGAGACATCCTGCACAGACTTGATGCAGGAGGAGGGGCTTGGACCTGCCTCAACTGAATGTACCAGGCTCTGCTGACTCCCCATAGGAGGCCTTACCTTTTGGGAGGAAGAAATGAGGGTGAATTGAGGGGAGAAGACTGAAGGGATGCAAGAGGAGGGAAGAGGGGGGATCTGTGATTGATATGTAAAATGAATAAAAAATTTCTTTAAAAAAAAAAGAAAAGAAAACCTTGCTTCCATAAACTCTGGCTGTAGGCAAGCCTGTTGGACATTTACTTAGTTAGTAATTGATGTGGGAGGGCCAAGCCCATTATGGATGTGGTGATCTCTGGGCAAGCCAGTAAGCAGCACTCCTCCATGCCCTCTGCATCAGCTCCAGCCCCTAGGTTCCTGTGCTGCTTGGTTTCTGCCTTGACTTTTTTTTTTTTTTTTTTTTTTTTTTTTTTTTTTTCGAGACAGGGTTTCTCTGTGTAGCTTTGGGCCTTTCCTGGTAGCCCAGGCTGACCTCGAACTCACAGAGATCCGCCTGGCTCTGCCTCCTGAGTGCTGAGATTAAAGGCGTGCGCCACCACCGCCCGGCTGCCTTGACTTCTTTTGATAATAAATTATGATGTGGAGTCTAGGCAAAATAGACCTTTTCCACACCAAGTTGCTTTTGATCACGGTGTTTTCACAGCAACAGAAATCCTAAGACACTGACCACCCTTCTATTACTTAACTGACAGGAGTTTCTTTTGTTTTCAGTGCTGACGTTAGGTAAGTGCTCTAACTTTTCTGTAGCTCTAGTAATATAATTTTTATTTTTGTGAAACAATCAAATAATAACTACCTTGTAGAATTTTGTGAAAATTAAAAAAAATAAACTACTTGCATATAGTTAACACTGTAAATTATGCAAATGATGTACGCAGCTAGTAAAATGAACCTATTGACCACTGTAACAAAATGGAAAAAATTCCATTTGATGTTATAGGAGGGAAGTAAACACAGTGTAAAAGTTGTTAGATGTCAGGCAGTCCAAATATCCAAAACTGAGCTCAAGCTGGACTATAGAGGGATTTCTGGTGGTTAGACAAAAGGCAGCATTCCTTGGGAATTTGTGAAATCAGTTCCCATCTGTCCAAAGGAATCATTTCCCTTACCTCTTGCAGAAAGGGCATATGACAACTTGTGGTACCTATCAGCATCTCAAAGTCTATGCTGGCCTCCAGGCTCCCTCAGTATCACACAAGTGCCTGTTAAAGTTTTCAAAGTCTGCACTAACATCCTGGTCCTTTCCTCCCCAAGCTACTCATCCTCCTTATAATTCTGTCCACCCCCATCTCTCTCTCTATTTCCACTCTTGCTCTCCTCTCTTTCTCTCTATCACTTGCTATCTCCTTTGCTCTCTCAATATGCTCTGTTCTCTATCTCCTGCCATCTCGTTATCTCCAGTATTCTCTCAACTCTCCCAATTCCCTACCTGACCATGCCCACTCTGCTTTCTTTTCTCTCTGTTCTAGACTCTTCCAGATGCCTCTCAATACTTTCTTGTTTATTCACTAGAAAAACCTTCTCCTAATAATGGAATAGTCATGTCTGTAGTTTCTTTACTGTACCTTCTCACATACATAAATTATATATGCATATTCTGATGTAACAAAAATATGTCTAGTCTCTGCTATTAGTTCATGACATAGAGCTTCTAAATGCCTCTGAGTTTCCTGAGCCATATAGGACCTTTTGTTCTAAGCAGTTGTCTCTTGGTGGGCACATAGGAAGCATCAGGATGGGTGCTGGTCACCAGAAAAAAACAAGTCATGGCTAGAGTATGCAGTTTCCAGGGTGAATTAATGCATGACCACACTTGCATGATGAAGCCTCCATAAAAATCCTAAGAAAAGTTCTGCAACAAACCTACCTTGTGCCTATCACAGCTGCTTGCCCAGCTCCACAGGGACAGAAGTGTCTGTGTTTTAGACCCTTCCAGACTTCACACTAAGTACCTCTTCTTCATGACGTCATTCATCTGTATGGTTCATTGTCCTTCACCATGAACCAGCAGGTGTATTTCCTGAATTCTATGTGCCAGCACAGCAAATCATTGAGCCAGAGAATGTAGCCACCAGAATAAGTCGTCAAGTCAGAGAGCGGAGTGGTGCCCATGCCTAGCTGCTGGCATCTGAAGCAAGAGAAAGCATGTGAGACTGAGCACGTAGTCTGCAGGGCTTGCCATGACTTCAGTGGTGGAGACGGAGTGCTGCCTGAAGAAAAGAATTTATTTTTCCTTTTACTCTCAGACACTGAGAGTGGACTGGAAGAACACTCTTTCTTTCTATATGAACACAAACAGGAAAAGAGGAAACATGCGAAGGTTTTATATGTGATTCATCTTTGTCTTGACTCCTGGGTGGTCTAAGGTTGCACACCTGTTTGATAGGATAGTTTGGCAATGATGCAACTGGGCCACTTTGTCCCTTTTCTTTTCGCCTTCACGTGTTCAGCAGCTGTGGTAACATCATATGCCCATCCACAGCCAAGGGCAGCAGTATTTAGAAACTGAAACTGAAGTGAAGGGAGGGGACGGGAGACTCTGCTCTCAAAGTCAGTCCAGGAAGGGAACAAACAAAATCCGAACGCAACGCCTGTCAGTGAGGAAGGCTACACAGGGAGGGGAGGAACAATGACCCTCATAAAATCTGTCACCTCCTTTTTTTCCCCGCTTTTTGTTTCTTTATAGTTGTGTTTTTGTTGTTGATGGTGGTGTTATGTTTTGATTTTTTTTTTTGAGACAGATTCTTATAAGACCCAGACTGACTTTGAACTCACTATGTAGCTGAAGATAACCTTGAGCTTCTGACCCTCCTGCTTCCACCTCCCTAGTGCTAGAATTACAGGCATTCACTTCCATCCCCATTTTTGTGTGGTAGAGCTGGGGACCACGCCCAGGACTTCATGCACACTAGGCAAGGACTCAACCAACTGAGCTACAACTCCAGCCGACCACAGGCCATCTTGACTGGTGACTGAACTATGTCAAGGGTATTGGCAGGATCACATTCAGAGCCATTGTGTAGACATGAATGCTCTCCCCCTGCTCTGCTCCTGGTGTTCAAGGATGCAAGGAGTGCACACCTGGAAGAGAGCCTGAGGTTTGCTGACCCGCCCTGTCTCCCAGCTAAACAGCATTGTCTCAAGCACCTCTGCACTCACTCAGTAGACTCCAAGATATAAAAGGTAAAGAGGAAAAGAGTCAGGAATCTGCTGGAAGCTGCTGCACAGGATGCAGTCTGGGAGAACTGACAGACAGATGCAGTAAATACAGGCATTGCAACAACCTGCACACAACCTTCACTTGAAGTGGAGGCGGGGCCTGTGAGCCTTCTGCACAGCCTTGTAAAGTAAGGCAGCTGCTCTAGGAAAGGCAGCCCAGTCATTTGTATTTGTTTCCAATGCTGGTGGTCAAGTCAGGGCCTCCATCACACGCTAGGCAAGTGCTCTACCGCCAACAGCTCATAACTTGGAGGCTCCAATCTGATTTGACCTGGGAGAGTCTACTCGGGCGTTAGTTTCCTTATTATCTCTAAGAAGGAAGGTTATGACTACCTGGTCAGATCTACAGTGCTAACACCCTATGAGAACAGAGGGCCTCTCTTTTAGATAACGTCTACAGTGCAGAGGGTATTTCATCCCTTTTCTCCAGCATCTCCACACATGGGCACCTGAGAAAAGAGCAGGACGTTTAACAAAGCCAAGGCTCGGGGGTATCCCGCTAACCGTACGGCAGGCTCGACTGGAGCTCCCGTTTCTCTCTGAAGCCAGGAATAGTAAGTAACCTTGAACAGCTCTCAGAGATCCTCTCACAACCACGGAGAGTAAGAAAGTCCCTTCTCTCCCCGGCTGCTGTGCCAGTGAAAGGAAACACAGCAGGTGAGCTGCGGTTTTATACTCGGAATTGCTACTCACTACAACAACTGGATTGGATGAAAGGTAATTTTTAGGTTTTTTTTTTAAGTGACAGAATTAGTCAACATTGCTTCTGACACGGCACATAAAAGCCATACACACTAATCAATTATGGCGTCAAAACACTGAAGTTTGCACAGTGGTATCAGATTTTAGAAACCTATTCATTTAAGCGAGTCCTCTTGTCAGCCTTATTGGGAAGATGCTGCCCTGGGCCACGCCGTCGGTGTAGCAGGGTAACAACCCCCGAGGGACGCCACTTGGGGTAAGCTAAGGCCTGGACTATGCTACAGAAAAAAATTTCATGGTTAGTCAGAGTCATTAAGGCTGTTAAGTAATAGTACAAACTTTAGATTTAAGCATGGACATTGAGAGAGAGAGACACATGCAAAAGACAGTACACATCCAAGACATGGGTGCAGGCTTCTTGCTCAGAAAGTGGAATTTTCAAAACGTTGAAAAATTAAGCAAGCTAAAACAGTGAGTTTTGTAAATGCAATTGTAAGGTGGTTTTTTTGAGGCATGTTGTTTAGATTTGGGGATAAGAGAAGAATGTTTAGACATTAAACTCAAGGCCACAAATAATCTGGGTCTAAGTAAGCATAGTTCATTTGTTGTTTTGAAATGTCTTTGGGAAAGAGGGCCTTATCTCTGTAGGCAATCTTGGCTTTATCAGTTCTCTTCAGAGTTTTCTGAATCTCAGCCAGTAGGGAGAGCAAACTGTATCTCAGGCAAGGGACTTCCTTCCCTTCCCAGGTCTCAGTCTCCCCTTTCTACCCTGCCTCAATCTCAGATATGGCCCAATACTCTTGAGCAAACCACTTAAAGAAGTCCTATCGCCCCCCGCAGCGCCCCCCCCCCGTGCGTGTGTGTGTGTGTGTGTGTGTGTGTGTGTGTGTGTGTGTGTGTGTGTGTGTTGAGGGGTGTGTAAAGTCTCAACAGCAATCTCTCCATGATAATCTGATGTTTTTGTACTGAAACACAGCACAGCACAGCCTTGTTATAGGCAACCTTCCCTTTCCACATAGTCATTCTCTAAACAGGCACAACAATGTAGCAATCTAAGTCTTTTCTTAGAATATTTATTTTTCCTGTTTATTTTTAAGATGACATGGCATACAACCTTCTTGCTTAAAAACCAATGTTCATAGTGAAATATAAGTGAATATAAAGAAGTAAATGGTCCTGCTTACCATACTGTGATGTTCAGCTGGGTCACGGGGCACAGAATAAGTCTGTATGGAGAGCTCGGCTATAAATGGGACATCTATATCACATCTCCTGTCCCTACTGCTCAGGAAAGGGGTGGAAAGACTAAGGGGGATGGCCACAAGACAGTCTTCTATGCAGGACAGGCTGGTGCACTCAAACTCACAGCATCTGTGGTTGTCTGCACATGACCTGATGGGCAATGTAGTTCATTGACTTTGTAAGTGTAGAGATACAGAAAAATAGAACCTGGGAAGTCAGCTTTGTTGGTAAAGCGCCCACTACTCAAACATGAAGACCTGAGCTCTGACCCTTAGCAACTATGTAAAAAGTATGTGTGGTGGTACATGTTTATAATCTCATATAGGAGGCAGGGGCAGGAGTTTCCTTGGGCTCATTGGCCAAACTATCAAATCTGGTTAATGAGGGAACTCCAGGTTCCTGTTCCAAAACTTAAGGTGGAGAGCAATAGAGGAAGACACC